TCAAGGGCCCTTGTTGTGCCACTGCAGTGCCTGAGGACAAGAGCTATATTTGCCCCTTCCCAAAACAGGGAGCAAAACCAGTGTTTATTTCTCTGTGGGGCTCAGACCAGCACAGAGGTGTCTTCAAGCAGTAATTGGCAATTTAGAGGTGACTTGTTCCTGACCTGTGGGAGTTCAAATTGTTTATGCTTGTGCTGTCAAGAGCCGATGCCCATCGCCCAGATCCCAGGGAGGGGCTGACCCGAGGCTGGAGGGTGGAGAAGGCTCAGCTGGGCTGGCACCCACCAGGTCCCACGTCCAGTGGCACTTGGGGAACCCCATGGTCTCACTCTGCACCGTCCAAGATGGACGGACAAGACCTGATGACTGCATGTCTTTGGAGTGACTCCTGCTGCAGTGATGATACTGGCAGCTGGTGACGGCGGTGCCAGGGCCTGTAACACGCAAAGGGGCATCCACAAGGCTCTAACCCATGGTTGCTCCAGCCAGGTTGGATGGGCACCCATGGGCTTGGGTCTTTTGGATGGCCAAGAGTCCACAGATCCTGAGCAGCAAGCAGGACCTGGCCCATGGGCTAAAATCAAACCGCCATTCTCATGGCAGCCAGTGCTATGCTGAGAACTGCAGATGATCCAATATTGTCGCATTTAAAAAGGGAAAAAGGGAAAAAATGGAAAGTCAAGAGGATTAAATATCACATATGGCACAGAGATTGTCAGGAAAGACCAGCTTAGCTTCACTCTGAGCGCTTAAGCTGATATTAGCAAACAAAGCCTAAACAACGTTACAAAGGGAAAGCTTAAACGGAAGCTAGCATGATTAAATCAATTTTAAGAAGCTGATCAGAAATAAGATAAGTTCTCAAACTTGCTGAACCTGCATCCACATGAGGACAGTAAAACGACCCCAGGTAAGTTAACTAGCAAAGTATAGGATAAACAATGAAGACACCAGAATTTGTCCCCTTGCTCCTCTACTCTGAGGAATGACAACTGCACTTACTTCTATTCCTTTCTTCAAAAGCACAAGGAGCAGGAATTTAATGCTAGGACATGTTTGGCCTGTAGCCAGTCAAATTCAGAGGGAGTATTCAAAGAAAATAAGCTGATAGAAATGTGAAGAAATTTTTCACTTTGAGGGTGGTAAGGCACTGGCGCAGGTTGCCCAGAGAAGTTGTTGAGGCCCCATCCCTGGAGGTGTTCAAGGCCAGGCTGGATGTGGCCTTGGGCAACCTGGTCTAGTGGAAGGTATCCCGCTGGATGATCTCTTTTGCAAACACTTGAAAAAGCCTGTCCTACCAATGCAGAAGTGCAAGTGAGAAGTAAGACAGGGGAGATGACATTTCCAATCAAAGTAAATCAGGTATGAAACTCAAACTTTTCACTGCAGCATGTCATCCGCTCCTTAGACTCACCTTTGCAAACCTCTAGTTTTCACCAGAAGACTAGAAGAAGCAAATATGCTGGCTTTTAAAGAAGTTGTCAGGGGTAAAGAGACTTCAGACAAGTAAATCTACTATGCAGTGTGGGCAGATACAGAAGCTGTAATAAATGGCTGACCTGGTTAATATATAGATAAATTTTGTCACAGGGAGACTGAATCCAGCTTTTGCACAGGAAAATCACACCTCAGAAATACTGTTTCTGGAGGAATCAACAAGATACAGGTGTTGGACATCCCCTGGTCAGCTAAGAAGGGTCTTCATCAAAGCTTGCAGGGGACAAGCTGCCATAGGCTAGGGAGGAAGATCCTCACATGGATAACTGAATGGCTGAGAGAGAAAAAAAGGGAGGAGGATCACCCAGGCAGCTCATTCTGCCACCAGACATCTTGTAAAACATCTCATCCATGTGCAGCAGGTGCCAAAGGTGGCGGGTGCAGCATGACAAGTTAGGACAAGACTCAGGAACAGGGCAAGGCACCATGCAAATCTAAACTGTACCCATACCTTCTCAGATGGTTAGAGGTCCAAGTCTGGTAACCCAGCCCCAGCAGGGACATGGCCTAAGCAGGGGAGGGAGAGTGAAGGATGAGAGGCACAGCTGAAGAGCAAGGAGACTTGCTCAGGGTTTAAGATCTGGAACAGCACGAGGTGGATGGGTAGAGAAGATAGTCGCACATCACCAGCAAGCACCGCAGCCATCAGCTCTGAGTCTCCAAATTGCTTGTCATACATCAAAGGCCGGTCCAGCACCTCCCTTGCCTCAACACTCCTCTGCTCTCTCCAGCAGGCGGTTGGGACCCAGGTGCCTGGGCTTATCTCTGCTGCACCCACCCAGTCCCTGTCAGCCCTTCTCACCAATGCGCTCCCACAGCACCCAGAAAAGGAGCAGCAGGTGAAACCACTGCAACAAGCAAAAGGCAGTGCAGAGATGGGCAGTGAAGCTCCTCGTTGCAGGATGCCACCAGTGCCAAGAAGGTGCCTCACCCCAGGAAGCCCTTAGAAACCTTCAGGGAAGAAATGTCCCGTGTCATTAAATATATGAGGACATCTGGCCAGGTTTGCTGGAGTGATAAAGCAAGTACAACCCTGTTTTCACTCTGTCCTTGCGTGCTTCTCCTTGCCCCTGTACCTGGCTGCTGTTGAAGGCAGAGTGCTGGGAGAGGGGCTGCGTGGTCCGATGAGTGTTGGATGAGCAGCAGTTACAGGGACAGGCTTGATGGAGGGGCTGTGGTGGGGAGCCCTCCGCCTGCTCTGCATGGAAGGGACTCACACCCAGAACAGATCTGAAATTGCAGCCTGTGTACATCCTGCGCCAGGGCACAGGGAGGACACAGATGGACAAAAGGAGGAGTGGCAAATGCTGGTGGCAAAGAGAAATGATCTCACCGCTGTCTGGCAGGGTGATGCCTGCACACGGCAGGAAGGAAATATTTGGCTGGAACACAATGTGGAGACACTGGGTCTCCCCGTCACACAAAGCCCTTGGTGAAGGGTGTTGCTGGCAGCAGGTTGTTTTCATCTGCATCAATACATGTACCGAATACAAGCCTCAAGGCAAAGCTACATGTGGTCCCCGTGCTCCTGGGAGCGTGGCAAATCCTGAAGTGTTCCAGTCCAAACTGCTGGGGAGAATTCCTGCTGGAAATGCTGGGGTCCTTCCAAAAAGGGTGGAGATGACAATGGGTTGGGAAGTCCCAGAGAGGTCCCTTGCCCTGCTGCTGCTGGGACGTGTCCAGCTCTCGTCCCTGCTCAGCACCAAGACCAGGAGGGACAGTTTTCCAAATGTATTTTCCCGGTGCTTCAGAGGAGGAAGGAGCACCTGTGAGCATCTCAAGGTGCTCAGTTGCTGGGACAACACCTTCCTGGTGTACCTGCTACTGTCACAGAGCAACAAAGTAGATCCTGGGCTGAAACAAATGCCCGGGTGACTGGCCAGACTGGCCAGAGACGATCAAGGTGGAAAGGCCAACCGAGAGGATTTTGGAGGAACTTCCTTTTCCAGGAGAGGCACAAGCTGCTTCATACCCTGCTAGACCTCAGTACCTGCAAGCACTGGCTAAACCCTTGGAGATGAGCATGTGTGAGGTGCTGGGGTCTTGCTGGGGACATGGTTTACCCTGGGCAGGTTGTGGTTTCTCCTGGGTGGATTTGGAGGGGCTGAACAGAGCAGGAAGGGAAGGATGGAGTGGGATTTCAGAAATACAAATTCAAAGCAAGACAGTCTCTGGAGGCAGAGATCCAATATCACCGTAATCTGACCCCAGGGTGGGCTTTCTCTGTGCGGTGCCCAGGAGCAGAGACCATAGGCAGCCCTGCACCAGCTCTCCAGGTTTGGGTCTGGAGGATTCAGACACCCACCTTCCACTTCCATCTTCCACCAGCCCTGCAGCACCATGGAACTGAGAGGTCCCAAAGCTGAGTCTTGCCCTTGCCTTGGCCCAGCCTGAATGCGTGGATGAGTGGGACTCCAGGGTTGCAGAGGGCTGCAATCACATCAGGGCAAGTGGAGGGAAGACCAGTTGGATGGTGGTGGTGGCTGCAGCCCTCCAAACTCCAACCTCAATCTCTGTGGCCAAGGCCCGTGGCCTTTCTCCACCCAGCCCATCATACCCATGGGATTTCCAGCCTCACTGCACCCCTTGCCTCACCTCTGCCTGGCCGTGATCCTGCCCCACAGGAGGCACACAGGAGGGAAAATCCTGGTGGGCTCTGAAAATGCCCTTGCTTGGATGAGCTCAGTACAGGATCACCCCTGGCTGCTCACCATCCACAGACCCCAGGAAGACAACAGAAGGGACCACATGCCCGAGCACCCCATGTTCTCCCCAGACATCTACACAAAGTTCCAGGGTGAGTTTCTGTTTATTTGGCAAAAAGGACAGACTGTGTGATGGACAAGCAGGAGACGTATCAGAGCCTTGACCACCGAGCGCAGAAGAGGGATGGCGGAGCAACAGCCTGGAGCTTCAGGGCATGGATCTTGAATTGCTCAGCAGAAGCATCCACCAGCGAGCCCGCACTTCCTGGAAAACAGCCAGGAGAAGTAGGCTGAGTATTTGAGATCAGGAGGCCAACAGAAAGGGCCGAGCAGGGCTTTCCACGAGGATCAGTACTTTCTCTTCCAGTTCGCTCCAGCTCTGTAGGGAGTACCGGTGTGGTGGGAATTCATGTGTCAGGGTGGGCCAACAACAACCAAGTTTTGTGTGGTGAGACACCAACCCAATCTCTGGCTGGTTTTGCAGGTCCACAACCCTGAGGTCCCTTTGGCAAGAGCCAGTGTCCCAGTCCTTGCTGCTGGATGAGCTCTGCAGCTGTTTCTCTTCTGAACCAGTGGTTTTGGTGCAAGTGCCCTTGCTCACTACTGCACCCTGGGGATCCCCACTGCAGAGCAGATCCAAAACAAACAGTCCTACCTGGGTGTGAGCTCCACCACAGGTTTGAATGATTCAGCCCCTGAGTAATTCGAGGAGTTCATGGTGGCCCTTGTTGGGGCACCAAGGGGGGCAATTTCCAGCTGAGGACATTGCAAACACCGTGTTGCACTGCAGCAACTCACCTACGCTTCATTGAGGCTGCATTCCTCTGTGAAAATAAAAAGAAAAGCTGAGTCTGGGGCTGTGGTCTGGCTAGTCCTTTTTAGCACCCAATATAGACAACCTGAGAATGAACTTGAGCAGGGTGAAAGCCACAATGTGCCAAACCAGAGAGCCATCTCCTGCCAGCTCAGACCACAAAGTGGTGACAGTGATGGGCTGAGCTGGCACGTCCCTGCTGGCACGTCCTGGCTCCCCGTCTCAACCAAGCCAGCCTGACATCGTGCTGGGCAGTGCTCACCCTGGCTGGGCAGCATCTTGATCATCTTGTTGGTAAAGCTCTGCTCCCGTGCAAGCTTCTTAAAGAGTGCTGTGATTTTGGGGCTCACCTCCCGGGTTCTGCCTAAAGGCAAAGACACGCTTTAGCTCTAGGCCATGGCTGGTCCCTGCATCTCCTGGGCAGCTGGTGGGTGTGCCCAGGCAAGGATGGGATGGGTGACGGTCCCTGGGAGAAGGCTGAAGGCAGTGGTGGAGATCCTGGAGAGTGGTGGTGTCCAGGGACAGGAGACACCCCTCCCAGGGGACAAGATGAAGTGGAGGTCCTGGCACCAGCACACTGTCTCCTCTCTCGGTTCCCATCCCCGCTGTTTCTGCCCTGCTTGCAGCAGGACCCCCACTTTTTGCCCCATTTCACCAAGAGACTTACCCAAGGCCATGGATTTCTGGCACAGTGCAGAACCCTGAGCCCCAGCCTCCCCTGCCAGCCCCCAATCGCTGCCCCTTCCCCTGCCCCGCTCCCGCACCGGGTCAAGAGGTGCCAGCATGAAGGCAGTGGTGAGGAGGGTGTCTCTCCCGCAGGCCCCCTGACTCCTGGCTGCTCAGGACACTGCAAAGCACCCCAGCAACCCCGAGCTCTTCACCCCAGTCAGACTCCCACTGGCTACGCACTGTAGAGCCTCAGCATGTGCAAGGTCTTCCTGTCCTTCACTCTGGAGGCAAAAATAACAGCGTAGGTCTTGCCGTCGGTATCCACCACTTGCACCGTTTTATTGCCTCTCTCTGCAAAAGGACGTGGAGGAAAGCAAAAAATTAATTGTCTCCCCCTGCGAGGTCCCACACTGTAATGGGCTGTAAGAGTGTGACGCAGGATCGCAGGGACAGCTCCAGCCAACACGGCTTTCTTCTGTGTCTCCCCCTGCTGGTTTTTCCTCTCGCTAAGGCTTCTGTGAAAGCCTGGGGGAGCCCACAGATCACAGCAGAGCGGAGCGACACCAACAAGAACACAGAAGGCTCTGGGGATGGTGACTGCAGACAGCAGAGTAGCCCGGCCAGTGTCAGACTAATACTTGGGCTGGGGATGGTGGGAAATCACTCTTGCGTCATCCCTTGGGAACATACGTCCACAGCCCCATTGCAGAATGAACCTGCTTTTCCCCAGGGTTTAAGCTCAGTCTGAACGTGTCTGTCTTATCTCAGAGCAAGTTCCTAGGGGGAAGGAGCAGGGTGTCCACTGCCCTGGAGGGTCACCAGCCCTGGCATGGACCAGCCTTGTCCTGCAGCTGGTGCCAGCCACAGAGGGATGTCCCACCCCAGGACCTCAGGAGAGGCAGACACGGACCCCTGAGGGCCGTGTCCCCAGGGACAACCAGCTGCTTCAGACAGGGATGATAGGAAGTGCCTCTGCCCCATCCTCTACCCCCCACTCACCGGGGCTGTAGTATTCACCCGGGACGACTGTTTGCTTGTAGATCCACTCTGATTTCTTACACCCCTTTGGCCTGCAAAACAGTGAAGGATGTTCTGGCTGGGATGAAGTGACCCCCCTTCTCCTCCCCTGGGGACACTGGCTCCAGGGTCACTACACATAATGTGGGACTTGCTGTTCAGTGATGAGACAGTGTGGCCAGGGCGAGGGGGACACATGCCACTCTTGGAGCAATGGGTGCCTGGGTTGGCAGGGCACAGTGTTGGCACAGGATTGCCCCATGGGGTGACATACTCTGAGCTGGTGGGATGAGGCTGGTCCTGCTGGGAAAGCTTTAGTCGTAGGGTCCCTTATCATCTTGCTGTATCCCTGCTGGGAACAGCGGCGTGCCTGAGCCTCCGTGGTGGGACCACTCCTGGCTGGTGCTGCCCTGAGCCTGCCTGGCCTGACCAGAAGAAGAGATCCCCACAGTGCAGCTCTCCTGAGCCCCTTTTTCAAACCACGGGGCTGGTGGCCCTGCCTCATCCCCTGCTCAGGGATTTGGTGGGTGCTGGGTGGAGGGACCCGGGTGGAGACCCACGGGTGAAGGTCCAGGTAGGAGGCTGGTCACTGAAGCCCATGGAGAAAAGCACTTGGCACTTACGTGGGAATTGCAAAGGAGACCTTCAGGTCTCCCTCCCCCAGGACCGTGATGGTGGCCATCGCCATCTTCAGCTCATCCTTCTTTCGGAGGTAGCTCTCGGAGTCAGAGGCCAAAGCAGTGATGTGCCATTTCCCTGCAATCTGGCAGCAAGGGTGGGCTGTGAGTCCGGAGGAGCCGGCAGGGGCTGTCCCCCCGTGGGGACACAGCCAGGACACCCTCAGGCCATGGGACACCTGCATCCCCTCCAGATACTGAAATCCCTGCTGGGCTATGCTGGAGGTGGGTGACTGCCCTCACTGGGGTGCGACAGTAGAGCTGGTGGTGGCTGCAGGTTCCCCAGCCATCCCCAGTACCAAAACACCTCTCCAGTCCCCACCCTGGTGACTGGAGGCCATGCTCCCACCTTCTCTTCCCTGGGATGCTGCGGCTCACCTTGCTCATGTCCAGCCCCTCGGCGCTGAGGTCCTCAGCCTCTGCACTCAGCAGGCAGAGCAAGGCCAGCACCAGGCTCAGCCCCACGGTCCTCATCTTGCCGCAGCCTCCTCCGGCTTCACCAGCAGGATGGAGAGCAGTGCCAGGGCTGCCGGCTTTATAATGCCGTGCTCTCCCCCTCTCTGCCCACCCCGGTGCTGCTGTGTGCCAAGCTGCATGGATAACGCTGCTGGTGTTGGCTTGGGCAAGGTGGTGGTTTCGAAGGGCTGATGTCATGCTGGGGTAAACAGCATGTGATCTCACGGAAGAAGGAAAGTGCCTGCAAGCCCCGGGAGGGGCTGAGAAGCAGTGTTGCAGGAGCTGTTGCACCAGTGCTGAAATTTAGGACTTTCCCGGTTTCTTTAGTCGCTTGTGAAAGAACAAAGAGAGCTTTTGTTTCCCAGCTGGCTGATGGAGGGCTGACAGGAGGAGCAGGGAGGTCCTTCCTGGCACTGGCCACGGCAGCTCTGTTACCCAGTGACCCATCATGAAGGTGCTCGGAGACCCGTCCTTCTGGCCAGGCTGGCATCTGCCCCAATGCCTGTGGGATAGTGCCCAAACCTGGGCTCCTGCTCACTGCTGGCTTGACCTGACCCCGTGATGCCTGTGAAGGCTCGCCCACCCGCTCCACAGAGTGGGACGCACTTGCAGCAGGGCAGGCAGAAGAATGGGTTCGTGTCACTGTGGGAGTGTCCCCTTCTTCCCGGGGTGTGATGTCCCCTGTGCCCTGGCTCTGACAGGCTCTGGGGGTCACAGTTCTGAAAGGTCCATGCTGCTTCCTTACAGCCTAGCTGGGCATGGAGGGACCCCCACTCTGGGGAAGGGGGGCAGTGGTGGGGACCAGGGGCTGCCTCCTCTCCACAGGAGGAGGATGGGGATGGAGGACGGGCTCTGGCTGCTCTTGGGGCTCATTGCAGCACGGTCCTACCTTGGTCAGTGGGCAGATGGGGGCACCAATGGGGCTGGGAGACAGGAGTGGGGGTCCCACTGCTGCCATGCATCTACCCTGGCCAGCCACAGCGCAGTCCCACTCCTGTCTGGGTGGCCTTGGGGGTCGACTGAGCCGGGAACGGGCTGTCCTGGGGATGAGGTGGATGCTGGGAGGCAGAGCCTGTGCAGGCAGGGCTGGGCAGCCTGACTGCTTACCCTGCCAGCCCAGAGCTGCTGCCCACCCAGCCGAGCTGCGCGAGCCCTGCTCATCCCAGCTTGGTTCTCCCCTGCCTGCATCCCCCGAGGCTGCCCCACTGCGTCTTCCCCATCCTCTGCTCCCCCATCCTCCCCATGCTGGGCACAGCAAACAACGCAGCAAAGGAGCCCCCCATCACCCCTGGGGTGCTGACAGGAAGGGTGGGATCCAGGACTGCTGGGTTCAGGGTGCCTGGGGACCCTGGCAGCACCCTTGCTCCTGCCAACAAAAGCACTGAGATCTGGGGCAGCTTCTGCATCTATTTATTTAGGAGGATGAGGCGTGATCCTGGCACGGGGCAGCGGGTCAGACAGAGCCTGGCTGGGGTGGACGGGAAGGGGCACCATGGAGGGGGAAGCAGACCCCAGTTTCCACCAGGTCTGGAGGACACACAGCCCCTTCAGCTGCAGGGAGGCAGGACAGACGGAGAGCCGTTAGAGCAGGGGAAAGCCGATGTGATGTGGAGCGCCAAGGTGTGGGGGGGCTCCCTGGGGGGCTGTGAGTCCCTGCTTGGCCCAGGACATACTGGGAGGGAGACCCAGCTTCCACCGGCCACACTCACCTGATGGCCTTGGAGCACTGATCTGTTGGAAAGCAAAGAGAAGGGTGAGCGTGGCACAGGCGGTGCCCTGAGCCCCCGCACAGCATCCCCACACAGAGGGGCCATGCGTGCCACCCTGCACCCTCGTGACACTCACCCGACTTGGGCAGGATGGCCATCATGTCCTTGGTCAGGCCCGCGGTGAGGATGAGCTCTTTGAACCTCTGCAGGAGCTGGGGGCTCACACCCTGGTCCCTTGCTGCAGCCAGACACCCAAAGCAGGGGCTGGTGAGTGCGGGGGGACCCAGCAGTGAGCCACATGCTGGGGGTCTGGCTCCCACGGGACCCCAGAGAAGGGCAAAGGCAAAGCCATGAAGGTGCAGGGTGGGCACCAGGTACCCCATGGCTGCCCTGGGCTGGCAGCAAAGGGGCACATGCCCCTTGGGACAGGTGAACCACCTGCCTGGGTGGTATGGGGCTGCTGGTGGGGCTGAGGGTCCGCAGACAGAATGGGACATTTGGTTCAAATCGCAAGCAACTGGGGGTATTTTTACTGCAAGATTTCATTCACCCCAAAATGAATTCCCTGGGGGTGCCTGGGTGTCAGCATGTTGGGTGCCAACGTGGTTGCCTGTGGCCCTGGTGAAGCGCCCTGCCCCCCCCCCCCCCGGTGCCTGTCCCTCCCCCCCGGGGAGCTGTGGGTACCCGTCCCCACGCCCGACACCCACTGAGGAGCTGCAGTGCAGTGTGGGGATCCTGCCCGCCCTGCTTGAGCTCGTGCACGATGGCGTAGCAGCTGTAGTCCGTCTCCATCACACGGAGGTCCCTCTCCTCTTGTGCTGCTAAAGGACCCCAGGCAGTGCCCGGTCAGGCAACGCAGCACAGCCCGGGCACCTCTGTGGCCCCTCCAGGGCTCACAGCTCAGGACCTGAGCCCCAGAATTGCCCGAGGCGGGGAGTGAGAAGGGAACCCCTGTGCGATCCGGCAGAGCCAGGCACCCACCCGCAGCATGACCTCTTGCCAAACGATGGAGGCAGAGGGCCAAACCCACCTCCCGCCGCTCCCCGAGCACAGGGGACCGGCGATGCCCACCCTCTGTTTCAGGGTGTCCGTGGCTCCCATCCTCCCTGCCCCTACGTACCCATGTAGTGCCCTGCCTGCCCGCTTCGCTGGAAGAGCAGCTCAAACTTTTGGCATCTGTCCAGCCTGGAAAGGGAAAACAGAAATGGCAAATGTGGCTGGACGCCACATGGGAGGGCAGCGGGGTGGTGGGGCAGGGAGGAGCCCAGCCTGCCTGGGGGACATGCTGGAGCACAGGCAGAACTGGGCGCCATGGGGCAGCGGGTCTGTGGGAGGATGATCTTCACCCAGCCACCTTGGTGGGGTGGGGAGTCCCCTGCCCCAGGTGGACACAGTGAGCAGGATGGGCACTCACAGGGGCCAGACAAGCTTCATAGCCAGGTCCCCCTCTGGCGTGAAGCTGATGGTGGTGATGGATGACTTCATCCCATCCTTCATCTTCAGGAACATGGAGCAGTTGGAAGCAGCAGCTGTGACATGCCATGTCCCTGCAAACTGCACCAGGACACCACCAGTGGGGTCTGGGAAAGCCATGAGGACCTGCCACCCACCATGCTGGACCTGCCAGCCTGTAGTGGGGGACCTGCCACCCTCTGTGGGGACCTGTCAGCCGAAAGCCATGAGGACCTGCCACCCACCATGCTGGACCTGCCAGGCTGTGGTGGGGGACCTGCCACCCTCTGTGGGGACCAGCCAGCCGAGCATGGGGACATGCCACCCACCCACGTGCAGAACACCCTGCCCTGCCCCATGCCAGAACAGTGGAGGCAGTGTCTGGCACACCTTGGGGAAGCACATCACACTGCCGGGCATCATGGCCCCGGGTGTTTGTGTCCCTGCAGCAGGGCCACCGCCAGGTTTGGCCACGGCAGGCAGGAGCTAGCCAGGACTAACCTAATTTTGCACAGGCATCCACACCCTCCTGGCAGCTGCCCTGGTGCCAGCTCAGGCCCAGGACTGGGGGGTGCCTGGGAGTGCCCGGCTTTCCCCGGGGGGGCGGCAGGGCACCCTGCCCCAAGCAGCCCCTCCAGAGCAGGCAGGACCAGCCGGGTGGGCACCCTGTGCCGTTACCTTCTCGGTGTTGAAGCCCGGCTGCACGGGGACCTCGGCCCCTGCCCGCAGCAGGCAGAGCAGGGTCAGCGCCAGGCTGGACAGCACCATCATCATCCTTACTCCAGGGGCTGGATACAGATGGGAGAGACTACGTGCTCCTGCCTTTTCCTGCATCCACCTTTATAGCCTCTGCTGCTGGCAGCACCCCCTGCCCGCCCCCACTTTATGCAACAGGTTACACAAGACCAGGGATAACTTGTACCCGTGTTAGGTGACAGCGTTGGCCCATTCCCCCTCTAATTGCCCAGTCCCGAATGAATGCAGCCTTGTGTGAGACCCAGCCCGAAGCGTGTCAGGGACTGGGCGATGCCCTGTGCCTGTTGCTGTGTCTGGGGAGAGGGATAGGGGTGCCACCAGTGCCCCACTCTTGGCTGTTGCGCACTGGCCCTGGGTTCCGGCAGTGCCGGGATGGATCCTGCCTCAAGGGGGAGGATGGTTGGAATGGCGTCTTAGCCCAGGGTTGAGCTGCACCCTGGTGCCCCCCAGAAGGGGCTGTGGCTTCCCAGGCTGCTGGCACAGACCCCACTCTGGGAGAGGCTCCAGGCTCATGGCATGGAGAGCAGGGCAGCCAGGGCTGAGCCACATCCAACGCTCACAGCCATCGCCCTGGTTCATGTCCATCCTGCCCCCACATTTTTGGAAAGACACCCCCTCCTCCCATCACCCCATCCCCATGCTGCCAGCCTGCTCTTGGAGGGGAAACTGAGGCAGGGAGGACAGGGTAGCCCAGGGAGCAGATAAGAGTGGATCCCCCCAGTGGGTCCCAGCACTGGAGGACCCCTTCTCCCTGGACAGGGCAGGTTTTGTGGCCCAGCAGCACCGTGGCATGGGAAAGCGAGTGCACACAGGGTCCCACTTCAGTGGCGCCACAGCCAGGAGCTGGTATCAGCCCTGACCCCGGGGCCAGGGCCCAGCCCACCACCACCGGCCATGCTCCCCCCTCCCCATCACCCCATTGGGGCTCCCCCTGCAACGACTCAGCAGACAAGGGGGTGGGGGGCTGGTTTTATACGGGCTTTAATGGGGATGGGGGTACAGGTGTGGGGTGTGAAGCTGGGGAGCAAAGGCTGCTGCAGTGCTGGGGGTGCGCTGAGGACAGGATGGGGTGGGGCGGCTACCGGCTTGCGGTGCTGTCGGGGGTCCGGCTGGCAGCAGCTGGCAGGTCTGCCTGGAAGAGATTGGGGTGGGGGGAGGGAGCGAGTGCGGCTAAGCTAGGGGAGACAGGGGGACACACATGGGGACATCGGCCCTGCCAGCCCTGCACCAAGTGGATGGGCACCCACCACCCAGGGTCTGGGGCAACAAAAGAGCAACCCTGTGGGGCCGGGGTGGGGGATCCCCGTGCAGGGGTAAGGGGGACCCCAGGGAGAGGAGCAGCCTTGGGGGGGTTGGGAAAGGGATGGGGGCTCTGCAGGGTGGAGCAGCTCTGATCATCCCCCGTGCCCCCCGTTGGGCTGGTGTGAGCCCCAGCCAGGGCAGGACTCACCTAGGCAGCATCTGCCATGCATTTGTCTGCAGGAGGAAGAAAAGTGGAGATCAGCTCATCCCAGGGCTGGGGGACTGCTGACCCCCCGAGGGACCCCGCATGGGGCTCTGCCGGGGCTCTGCCCAGTGGCACCCCACGGCTGGCCCCATGACGGCCCCACAGGGACACAGGGAGAAAGCAGGAGGGTCTCTTGCCTCTTAACCCCCCCAGCTGACCTCCTGCTCCTGCCACCCCTCTGCCCCTCCAGTCTCTCACCTGTCTGGGGCAGGATGAGGATCTCTTCATCCGTCAGGCCCTGCTCCCTGGAGAACTGGGTGAACCTCTCCAGGCGCTCGGGACTCAGCTCCTTCGTCCGGCCTGCAACCGAGAGCGGGGTGAGAGGCAGCAACCCCCTGCCCCCAGTGAGGGGCCATGCTGCCCTGGGGTGCAGGCAGCCCAGCAAGGGACAGGTTCCCCAGGAAGGGGGTCCCAACCCAGCCATTCCATGGGTCATCCCAGACTGGGAGATGATGCTGCCCTTCTCCCATGGGAGAGATCCCCCACCGAGGACATCCTGGAGAGTCCTGGGGGGTTAGGGGATGGGCGGCATGGGTGTCTCGGGGCAGACATACTGTAGAGCAGCACCATGGTGGAGGAGCCAGTGCTCTTGGAGATCTGGGTGGCGACCAAGGCATACTCCTCATAGTTGGTCTCCACCACGCGGATGTCATGCTTGCTGCCCCAGCCTGCAAGGAGACAGGGGAGGGCACAGCTCAGCCCCGGGCACCAAGCCAGCCCCGAGGCGGTCTGGTGAGGGCAGGAGCAGGGACAGGCAATAGCGGGGTTGGGCTGGGAGCTGGGGGTATGTAGGGGCTGCCCCACAGGAGAATGGGCAGGGAGCTGGGCACTCACGTGGGCTGGCGTAGCTGGAACGCCCAAGTCTCTGTCTTGGTGTAAAGGCTGTTCCTCTTCTCGCACTGGTCACCCCTGGGGAGTGCAGCACGAGGACGTCAGAGGGGCTGGGGGGGATGCTCCAGCCCACCTATAGCCCCAGGCATGGCACCATGGGGGAGGACCCCCTGCTCATCCACCCGCTCCCCATGCCCGTACTTGGGGTAGGTGGAGGTGACTTCCAGGTTCCCATCTGTGGTGGCAGAGATGACCGTGGTGCACATCTTCATCAGGTGCTTCTTGTCTTTGAACCAGTTGGAGTTGGAGGCCAGGCCGATGCTGTACCATCTCCCCGTGAGCTACACACAACCTCTGCTCAGTCACCGGCCGGGTGAAGACCCCCATCGCCCTTTGGCTTCCCACCAGCCCCCCACCAGGCCACCATCCCCCTCCCCTGCCAGCCTGTGCCCCGCAGCAGGACAGTGTCCCGAGGTCCTTGTCCCCCAGGGAGCTGCTACAGCTCTTGGCATCCACAAAGCCCAGCGGCTGGGAGAGTCCTCGTTTATGATGTGCCCTTCACTGCCCAGTACTTGGGATGTTTCCTTCCTCTTTGCCCCAAGCCTGGGGAGGGGGTGACAGGACTGCCTGGCTCTGAGATGCCATTTGCATCCGTCCAGGAGCATGAGAGGAGGAATCAGGACCCTGGGACCAGCATGGCTCATCCCAGCCTGGTCCCCGGAGCCACTGGCTCAGTGCACCAGGAGAGGAGCTGTCAACCTTGGAGGTGGGCTGTGCTAGGACCACCCCAGCAGGACATGCCAAACCCCCATCCTTGCAGGACGTGCCTCCATCCCCATCATCTCCCTGGGGTGGGTCTGTCCCCCAGGACCCCTCCGGGGATTCCTGGAGGAGCAGACAGCTCACTGGGACCCCAGGGCTGCGGGGCTGGGACTGCAGCATGCAGCCGGGCTGGGGCTGTCCTGCTCTGCGTCCTGCTCGTCATTGGGAGAGGAAGGGGAGTGCAAGCACCCAAAGCGTGCAAGCACCCAAAGCATGCCAGCACCCGGGGCTAGGAGGGCAGAGTGGTGTGTGGGACTCCCCAGCACAGCAGCCCTTGATTTTTTGGGACCCTGGGTTGGGGGTGGATGGGGTCTGTGTTGGGGAGAGGGGTCCATGACCCATCTCTGTGCTGCCTGTCTAACTCAGCTTGCTTTTCTCAGTCCCCCCTATAAAATCCCTGTGTCTCTACAGCCACCCCACAGCACAGCAGATGGCTTGGCCCCACATCTGTTGGGTCCTGCCCCACAGGCTGGAGCCTGGATCCTGTACCTCCTCCAGAGCCACTAAACCCGGGAGCTGGGGGCCCTGAGGGATGGGGGGGCTGCGGGTGCACCAGCCGCCCTGCCCCTCCCAGTGTTGGGACCAGCCTGACCCCAAATCCACCTGCAACACCATCTCCGCACATTTTCAGAGTGAGGATCCCCAAAAAATGCCCTGAACCCCCGGGCAGGGTCACCTTGTCCTGCTGGAAGTCGGTTTGCACGGGTATGCTGTCCTGCGCGTGCAGTGCCCCAGGGAGGGCCAGCCCCAGGATGCCGAGCAGCGTGGCGTGCATGTCTCCCGCCGAGCCGAGCCGAGCCAGAGGAACAGGCAGAGTGCTGCGGTGCTGGAGAGTCCGGCAAGCCCCTATTTATGGGCAGGCTGTGCAGTGGCCCCAGGGGGGCCAGCCCTGCCTCCCCCCGTGCTGTTATGCAAGCGAGAGCAGGGGCGAGCGCCGAAGCCAAAGGGCAGGCGGGGGAACCTGCAAATGTTTCCCCTCCTGTTGATATGACATGTTTGCTTCAGGGTGCCAAACTGCTCCGCAGCAAAAATGCAGCTTGCAGCCAGCGCAGCGGCTGTCCCGGCCCCCAGCGTTGCAGAGCTGGGGGCTGCTGCGGGCAGCTGGGGTGGCCCACGGACACAGGCACAGGGCCAGGACCGGGGGCCAGGGCTAGCTGGCTGGCCCCCCGTTGCAGAATGGCCTCCCTCAGACTCAGAGAGGGGCCAGAGGGAGGTGGAGGGAATGTTGAGTGCCTACCGGGTCCTGATCCAACCCGTGGGACTCCTGGGCAGCTTCAGGTGCTCCTGTGAGACCTCCCCCCTTGCCCTGACCCAAGTCCCTCTATCCCCCGAGGAAGCATCTCAACTGGCCCTGTCACCCGCCAGGGTGGCTCTCATCGAGATGCAGCTCCGGTGCACCCTGATGCGGGGCTGGGGGTGCTGGGGGGCAGCCAGACCCCCACCTCGGGCAGCCCTGATGCTCAGTTCCCGGGGGACCAGCACACAGCCAGGCAGATCCTCCAGTGCTCCATCCCCCGCCATGCCACCCTGCACCCTTTGCCAAGAGGGGCTGGGAGATGTCCTCCCCCCTGGCTTGGGGTCACCAGCAGGTGCTGAGCTGCCCCCCTGCTTAATTTGGGGAGACCCTGAGGACCTGCAGGATGAGGGCTGGGGGTGAACATGGGGTGCCAGCAGCCGCAGCCATGGGTCTGGCACAGCTTGGGCAGGGTTGGCTGTGCCGGGCAGAGCATCAGCCCTGAGGCTCTCCCCGCAGCGGGGCCCTGCCAAGGCGCTTTACGTAAGGAGCTTGTTTTCACAACAGCTGGTTTTT